CAAAGGCTCTTCCCTAACTCCAGCATCCCCCGCACCTCCAGCCCCCTGCCCTGCAGGACCTGGGCAACGCTGGGGAGGTTTTCTAGTCTATTCTATTCTATATTTCAGAGAGTTTCTCTGTCTGTGTGTCTGTTGTCGAGGCACCCCTTCCCCAGCTGTGCCCACTGCAGTTGCAGTGGCCATGGAGAGATGATTCTCCCCGGGCCCCAAGCTGCTGTGGTGAGAGAGCTGGGGTTGTCCCCTCTCCCCAGGGCAGTCCCCTCCTCCCCAGCCCCACCCAAGGACAATTTAAATGAAGAAAACCAAAACTTACTTGAGTGCAGGCAAGTAAATCTTCTAGTAATAACATAACTAGAAAAGCAGCGGAAGAGAAAGAGTCTCAGAAGAAGTGCTTTATATAAACCAGGGCAATGATGATCGTTTATGGTCGTTAACGCGGAAAATGACACACACAATATTTCCGTCTCCAGAGCTTTCTAGGGTACCTACACATACATTTTAAAATACCACTCTTGTTTCATCAGAGTTAAAGGTGTGTTTGGGATATAACATCAGTCTGAAAGGATACAATGTATCCAGCAGGCACCCAGTGGTGAGGCAGGAGAGGCACGAGGATTCCAAAACCAATCAGAGCAAAGAAGACATATAACAGCCAGGCAATAATCTGGAAGGGATGTGGAGGCCAGCTCCAGCCATTTCTTCGGACACAATGGGATTGGACCTCAGCAGTTGGCACATCCACCTCTTCCGGAGCTGTCTTATTGGGAGGTTTGTTGCAGATGTTCATCTACAGAGAGTGGGAAAGAACAACAAAAAGGTAATCCTGAAAATTCCTTTCTGTCGCATGCGGCATTCTCAGGAGGTATGTTCAGAGATTCCAAGGCCAGAAGGAATCAACAATGCTTGGTGGATTGTTCCAATGGTTGACTACAAATGTAATCATTATTTCCCATAGGAATTTGCTGAACGTTTACTTCCAGCCATTGGACTGTGTTAGACTTCTCTCTGCTAGATTGAAGAGCACAGTATTAAACATTTGCTCCCCCTGTAGATACTAATAGATGGTAATGAAGATACTCCTGTCTGCTGCTACCTTGGCCATGACTGAGCAGATCCCGACACATATCAAACTCCTGCCAATCCAATACCCCGCCTTTTCTGAAGTGCAACGGAGGCACTGGTGGATCCGAGTGCCTATGGCAACTATGTCTCGTGACCCTCTGCAGCCCAACCCACTGCCCCGTGTTACTGTTTAACTATAAGGATTTTGCTGTCTTCAGCAAAAGGAACTCTGCTACCTCATCATATCGATGACTGCCCCATCAACTTCTCCAAACTGCGGGGGCACAAACTGCCGCCATGTGCCTACTCTGCCCAGTGACACTCCAGCGCTGTGCCCAGCCCAGAACTGCCACACACTCCCTGCCCCACGTTACCAGCCCATGTATGTGAGAGAGAGACAGAGGATGACACTCTGTCTTTCTTCCCCTGTGCCATCCACCCATACCCACCACACTTTTGGCTGCTCTCGCTAACAGCTGGGCTCAGATGGGGAGCTGAAGAGAGCCACTTCTAACAATTTGGGTCCTGCTCAGTGCAGTGCAGCAGCTGCCTGGGAGAGCTTGGTAGTGGTGGTCTACTCCCCGCCCAGGCCTGGCTCCTAGAAACAGGGGCCAAGTGACCCAGAAATATGTTGGGGTGGGCTATAAATATGCCAATGTTTATAGCTGCCTGCTGTGTCCTGCATAAGATCTATGAAACAAATGGGAGAAGTTTTCACTGGAGGGAGATGGAGCATTTTTTCTGCTGAATCTGAAGAGCTAGACACAAGGGCTTCAAGTGGAGCTCTATTGTTCAGGGAGGCTTTGAAAAGACCATTGTAACAGTGACCTAGATCCTAGACTACAGGCAGTCCCCGGGTTACATACAAGATAGGGACTGTAGGTTTGTTCTTAAGTTGAATTTGTATGTAAGTCGGAACTGGTACATATTGTAGGGGAAACTCTAGCCAAACATTTCTCCAGAGCTCAGTTTTATTCTCCCACACCTCACTTCCCTCAGTCCTTTATTCTCAAGCTGAGGTGTCTGCTGAGAAAAGCTGCTCTGCGTCTCCCTGGTCTGCTGGGGGGGAGGGGAGGCGCTAGCTTCGCATCTCCCTGGTCTGCTGGGGGGAAGCAGCTAGTGCGGGGTTGCCTCACCCCGTTTGTAAGTCGGGATCCATGTAACCTGGGGACTGCCTGTACTATGTATTGCTATAGTGAGCTCTCTCTGGCCCTCTCTTTTGCAGCCTGGTATGGCTCACGTAGGGATTGCTGTACATATGGGTATGGAACATTGTCAATGCACCTATTCATGTAGTTTCTGAATGATCTTGCGAGTTGTGACATTGTGCAGTAACAGGTAATTGGTCACTTTCAGAACTGCTGCCTATCAGCACGCATGTGCTGTGAACTAAAGAGATGAATTTGTGTTCCAGATAATAACTTTTTATTCTGTTGCAAGATCACAGAAAGAAAAACAAGGGACATTTAAAAAGAAATACATTTAACATGTAACAAAACTTAAGAGAACAAAGACCCAATGAAAGGAAAGAACTTTCATGTCCCTTCAAGTCCTCATAGGCCACCCGTGGCTTTCACAAGTCAGCGTAGGTGTCACTGATAATCTTTCATTTCCCCTAGTGCCGGATGCCACGTGGAATGTTGAGGGGAGACACAGGGAGGTCTGAATACTGAGTTCTCAATGGGCTGCAGAGGGAAGCAAGCATGGGCCTGTTGAACCTGCTGGTCCACCTGAATCTGCAGCATCTGTGTTTGCGGACTCGGAATCCCCATTATATTCTGGTGCGTGTCCCTTTTTTCCCCCTTGCACCATTCTCCTCTCCCCTCCATCCATCTCCAAGCTGTCCAGAATGTTCATCCTCAAGGCCCTGCTGCTCACTGTCCGATGCAGCACTGGCTTCCAGGATCTCCTGGAACATATCATCGCAAGTCCTCTTCCTTCTCCTCCTAATCTCGCTCAGGTGCTCTGTGGGTGTGGAGGGGGAGATCCTGAAGGCTGCAATGGCAGCAGCTGCAGCTAGAACACCTAACAATGGAACTGTCAGTGGATTCATTACGGAGAGCAAAACTTAAGATGCTGAACTCACTCACCTAAGTTTAAGCATTATATTCCAATTCTGCTCGAATTCTACTCCAGTCACAGCATCAGCCATGGCAGGTATGGCCCACCAAGGGTTAGGGAAATGAGGAGGGAATTGCTTATTTGTATGATTTAAGTACAGGGTGGGCAATAAGACAGTGGTGGTTCACCAGGGTTAGCCACTGGTGGGCCGCTGCCACTATATTTACCTGCACTTCTGCAGGTACAGGAGCTTGCAGCTCCCATTGGCCACAGCTTTCATTCCCGCAGATCCCATTGGCTGGGAAGAGTGATCAGCAGCTAATGGGAGCTGCAAGGGCCCATAGAATCATAGAATCCTAGGGCTGGTAGGGACCTCCGGAGGTCATTGAGTCCAGCCCCCTGCCCAAAGCCGGACCAATCCCAACTAAATCATCCCAGCCAGGGCTTTGTCAAGCCAGGACTTAAACACCTCTAGGGATGGAGATTCCTCCACCTCCCTAGAGAACTCAGCCCAGCGCTTCCCACCCGCCTAGGGAAATAGTTTTTCCTAATATCCAACCTCGACCTCCCCCACTGTAACTTAAAACCATTGCTCCGTGTTCTGCTATCCATCACTACTGAGAATAGCCTCTTTCCACCCTTTTTGGCACCTCCCTTCAGGAATTTGAAGGCTGCTATCAAATCCCCCCTCACTCTTCTCTTCTGCAAACTAAACAAGCCCAAAACACTCAGCCTCTCCTCCTAGGTCATGTGCTCCAGCCCAGTATTTGCCCACTGCTATTCTAGTAGTATAGGGCAACAGCACTGAACACTGGCACTAAATTGCACAGACGGGGTGATTTCAGATCCTATTGCACTTCTGAGTGTAACAAAGGCAGAAAGAACATGGCTGCTACTGGTGTCATGAGGCTGCCCAAACCACATGCTACTAGACTGGGTATTGCAATAGCCCTTGCTGAAGTTATTGCTGAGCGGTGTGGGAACGCGTCCTACTGTGGTGGAAGAAATAAGGCTGCCTTCCCTAGAATCCTTCAGCAGAGGGTTGCAGACTATCTCCATTCACCGAGATCTCTCTTGAGGATTCCCTGCACAGCTCTACACACATAAACAAACTGCTTTGTATTCCCTGCTTCCCTTGTAACTCTAGAGGGGAATGAAAAGCAGGTATCGAATCTATCTCTCTTGGTTGTACCTCTAACGCTTCTAGCGCAAATAAATTAACAAAAAATCAAAAGAGGTGTCCTGTGACTTTGGAGGTGCCATCCCTGTCATTTTAATTTAAACTACACACCTACCTGAGGTTCCTTTCCCTGCACTAGGCTTGCTTGTGCTTAACTGGTGGGACAGGCTGGATTGTGGTGGAGTCAAAAATAGGTCTAGGCTTGCTGGTCACCTGTCCTCTATACTACTACTCCTTTTCATCCATCTCCTCTTCCTCGCTATTCACAGGAGAGACCTGTGATTCAGACTTCTTAGCGTCATCCATGGTGCTCTGGAGGGTAAGAGTGGTACCTCTGCTGCGGGTGGCATGCTGGAAAAGTGGTAGGTTTGCAGCTTGGCACCAAATTAATCGTTGGTCTCCCTGGTATGCCTGCCACAGCTCCTTGGCTTTCACACAGCACTGCTGCTGGTCCTTGCTTTTCCTGTATTCCCTCAGCAATCTGCTCACAGAAGCCCATGTTTTGATAACTCGTTTGGAGCTGAGTCTGCACAGCCCCTTCTCCCCATAGGCCCAGTAGATCCAATACAGCACCTCCTGTCTACTTCAAGCAGGAGCAGGTCTGAACTGTGTAGCTGACATGGTCAGGTGTTTAATTGACAGCTGCTAGATGCAGTCCTGAAGCTGGGCAATCAGGAAAAGGAATTGCAAAAATTCACCAGGTTTAATAGGGAGGTTGGGCTTCTGGTCTCCATGATCCAAGGTCAGTGGAGCTCACAATGGTGACCAGAGTGGTCAGTATGGGGCATTGTGAGACAGCTGGTGGAGGACAGTCACGATTGACTAAGGCCTTGTCTATACTTACCTGCACGGTCGAATTAAGACAACTCTGGCTATGTTAATCACCTAGCTGGAGTCAACGGACCTTAATTCAACCTTCAGCGCCATCACCTCAGTGCGAGCTCAACGGGAGCAGACGCCCTACTCGTCACGAATCAAGGACTACCGGCATCGTCAGGGGCGCCCTCAGCTTTCAATGTAGTGGGCCTTTACTAGATCCGCTAAATCAAACTCTGGAAGATCAACCGCTACAGTGTCGATCTTCCAAGAAGTGAAGATGTAGCCTAAGAAATGCAGAGTCTACACTGTGTTTCCCTATACATATCGATCTTGGCTCTACGCTGCTTGGGGAAGTGATGCTATTAAGTCAGTATTATCAGGAAGTTACATTGGAGGGAGCCAAATTTTAGTGTATATGTAAAAGTAGATTGATGTAAGCTACCTTGCATCAACCTAACTTTAGAGTGTAAATCAGGCCTCAGAAAAGCAAAGAACAATGGTTCACCTCACTGATTTTTGTCAGTTTCTTGTTGGGGCAAGCTCTGAGCAGCAGGGGCAAACAAAGGAGCTAGTCACTGTCAAGGAGGACCCAAAAATTGAAAGGCAGTTAATTGATCCAGGCTAGGGGATTGGACTCGATGACCTTTCAAGGTCCCTTCCAGTTCTAGGAGACAGGCAATCTCCATTCATTTTAGGGTGTTGAGACACCAGGG